TGACGCGGTTCGAGGTTTGTCGTTTCCTCTTATCTTCAGTTTACTTCGTGCATGGTTGGTTGTCTCCCAAACTCCTTCAATCTTTGGAGCATTACCCTTTCGTGGATCGTGAACAAGCACTGGTTGCTCCATCTCATGTTACTCGAGTTTTTGCAAAAGCAGGGACATGCTTTGGTGCATTCCTTCAATCTTCTTTTCTAAGGCAGCCATCTTGTCACCCTGTTGATCCAGAACCTCGGTCGGTTTGTCTTTCTGTCCGAGAACTGATCGGGCAGTACCCTTCTGTCCATCATCTGGTCGGTCGGTATCCTTTGGTCTGAGAACTAGTCGGTCAGTCTCTCCTTCGGCTGTCTCGGCGGAGGTGTACCCCTATGAACTTTCCTCCTGTGGCGGCATTCTTCATCAGAATGTTGTGGACTCCTTCCCGAACTCATCGTCCCCAAAGACAGCGCCAATTGTTGATGCAGAAATTTGGCCTGCTAGGATTCCGCCAAATTCGCACCAATCTTCTAGATTAAAGGGATCGACGAGACTTGCAAAACAGAATAGCATTAAAGACTGGTGTGGCTCTTGCCACACAGATTCCGATGCTTAAGTCAGAATCGGAGTAATTGAGTATAAAGTGTAGAGTGTTGTGAGCATAACAAAAAGTAGAGATTTGTCGCCCAAGGTTTGACTTACTTTCCTATTTATAGAAGTTGAATACTGATGCCTCTAGGGATTGTGGAATTCGAATCGTAATACATCTAGAAAATCTGGTTATATGAATCGAGGGAGAATCTTGAGGCAATCAGGATATCTTCTCTGGATATCTTTTCCTGAATCATAAAGCCATCAACATATATCTTCCTTTTGAATTAAGGGGGAATTCGAATCGTAAAAATTAGAGAAAAGATAAACATAAGTGACTAAAAAAGTTCTTTTAAAGCAGTATAGACTGAATTGGAAACAACTTAAACAATATTTTAAAAAGGTATATAGACTAAATTGAAAAGGGACGAAAATGCAAATGGCCTAAATATTTCATCACAATGATTCAACCTCACCTATATTAACTCGAATGAAAATGAGGTTATTTCAAAAATTTTAATATTATTTTAGTGAATGCATTTTCGATATTAGTTAATTTTAATTCTTATATTTTTAAAAATGTATATTTTTAATGATCGTTATATTTCTAATTTTTGTTCATTTTAGTCTAGATACATTCGAAACGTTTATTTTGATCCATATATTTTTAAAAAGTTACCATTTTGGTTCCTTTATTTTTGTTTGTATTACATTTCTTTCGACTAAAATTGTTGCACGACATTCTACTCACTAAATTTTATGAAAGGTAGTTAGTACTAAAGGATTTCCATTGTATATAAAATATTTTGTTACATTTTAATATTTATCAATAATTAAATATGAATTTCTTTTTTATTTAAATTAAGTGCTTAAGTTTTGAGAGTGTTTTATCTTTTAAGAAGAGAACGTATTTTCAGAGAGGTTATTTTTATACTTAGTTCTTATAATACCTCTCTCAAAACACAACCAATACAACCTACCAGTCAAATTCTCTTCTCTACTTTCTCTATTATCCATCTTATTCTTTTAAGAGCAATTGACCGAAAGATGAGCTGCACTTCTAGTTGTAGAGTGATTGGAGCTAATAATGTTTTAGTTAGGTTATTGTATCCTGTAGGAGACAGACCATAAAATACCTACTACACCGATTGTTGACAAAGAAATACATATGGCAAAAGATTTGAATGTCCTTAAGGAGGGCAAGATACCCACGTCTCAACCTAATTGATTATGTGTTTGTTTCTCAATATTTATTTCAATTATCTCCCACAAAATTTGTGTTAAAATTTTACAAAATTTTAAAATATGGACACTAAATTAGAAGTTTTAAACTTAAAGTACGTGGATTAAATAAACGGAAATTAAAAATAAAGAAATCAAAACAAAATCCAAGGTTGGTGAAGAAAAATAATATTTAAACCTTTAAAATATTTGAAACAAAATCCAAACATTTGTTAATTAAAAGTATTCTCTCTCTCCTCTCTCATTTATTATTATTTTTTTTGACACTCTCCTCTCTCATTTATTAACTTGCCTCCGAAACTAAACAAAATGCAACCACTTCGTTTTAGAATCTCAGTGTCATTTGTCAGATAAATAAAACGACACTAACCCCATTTACTTATCAAAGAATTAAAATAATAAAAATAAATTGGAATGAGAATATTTTTTATATTGTTTACTTAAATTTTTTTAATAATAATTATTTTCTTATTTATAGTTAATTACTAATACATTAATAAACGGACTAATATTATTTAAACTAAAACAATAATGGTTCCTAAAACAATAATAAATTTTAAATTTATTTTATTGATTTTAAATATTTTTTATTTTAAAATTTTTATTTAATATTAACTAATAATAGATAATTAGTCAAAATGAGTATAGTTGAACAATAGTGAACATATATCTCAAATCAATAGTTGTGAGTTGCACCTCCACCCCATATGCTATACTAGAAAAAATTGAATAAAAAATTAATAGATAGTTCAAATAAATTTACATCAACTAAAAAATTTTAATATATTTATTATTAGAACACTCATCATCAATATAGAAAATTAAATTTTATTGTTATAATATTTAATAATAATAAAATTCTATTTTAACTATTTTATTGATATTAGTTAATAACTTTTATTAAAATAAAAATTCACAGTAGTATAAATAAATAAAGAAACAATAAAATTGTAAAACAATACTAATTAAATAATTATGAGTTAACTATAAGATGAAGACCCACGGAATAGAAAGTGATAATGATATTAATGAGATTTTTAGAGAGGAATTGGGGAGGAATTACCAAATTTGAAGTAAGTTTCATCAATTAATTTCATTTCAGAGAAAGTAAACAAGGCCTAAAATAAAATGTATGAGTGATTAAATTATAAATTTAATACTTTAAATTTGGAACACTATATCTATTCTCTTTTTAGTTTCTAAACTTTAAAATGTTTTAAAATGTTCTAGTGACGTTTTGACGATCTTTTTTCCTAATTTTTCGAGTCCAAAGATATTTGATATTTAATCTGTCATTAATACCATCAATAATATGTTGACATGTTAAGTTTATTAATCTATCTATTTATCTACTATATTACGTCAACCAATCAAAAATATAACTAATATTTAATAAATCACGTGTAAGTAACACTATTAAAATAGGAAGCAAACGAGTTATGAGGAACCAATTGCATGTGCGATCGATAAGTTCTCTTATTGAATCTTATAAAAAACAGATCGTGTCCATATTAGGAGTATAGTCATGCTATATAATCTAAGTCAAAGTAGCTATAAGATTGAATCAAGGTACACTAAATTAGATAACCTAAGTCAAAAGTAGCTACAAGATTGAATCAAGATACGCTAAATTGGATAACTTAAGAGGAATTCCCAAAATAAAATAAAATAAAATGTATAAATGGTTTAATTGTAACTTTAATTCTTTAAATTTTGAACACTTTATCTCTCTTTTTAGTTTCTAAACTTTAAAATATTTTGATCAGGCTTTTGAAGATTTTTTTTCTTTGGTTTTTTGAGTTCAAAGATATTTGTATTTAATCTATCAATAATACCATCGATAATATGTTGACATGTTATGTCCATTAATCTATCTATTTATCTACTATATTTCGTCAATCAACCAGAAACATGACAATATTTAATAAATCACATGTGAGTAACACTATTGAAATATAGGAAGTAAAAGAGTTATAATGACCAAATTGCATGTATATGGTCGATGAGCTCTCTTATTCAATCTTATCAAAATAGACCATGTCAATATTCTAAGTATAGCCATGCTATATAATCTAAGTCAAGGTAGCTACAAGTTTGAGTCAAGACACGCTAAATATCCCTAACAAATAAATCTATGACTTTTTAGTCAAAATATATGTACGTTAATCAATTGAACTATGTTCAAGTTATCAAATTAGGTTATCAAATTTATTTGATTTATATCATAAGTTAAAGGTTGTTATTAAATTAAAGAGGTGCCATTAGGACATTGATTTTGTTGCCACAGAAAAAGGGGAGGGGCATGGCCGAGACTTCGGTCGTCGGAAAGACCATTGCACCGCCGATGTGTCGGGGAAACGCGGCATCCTATGAAACAAATCCACTAAATGTCGGGAAAAGCTTTATTTATAATTTTACAACTATTCATGCAAATATAGTAATTGCTACTTCCTCATTTAATTCCTTAACTTCATATTTATGATATATTATATCTTTTTTTTTTTTAAAAAAAAAGAAAAATCTTTCTTTTTTTAGTTCTTAGTTGATAATTTAAAGGCATATAAGTAAATAACGATATCTCAATTGATATGAAGTCTTTTACGTGAAACAAAAAGTTATGTTACGAGAACTTATGTCTAAAAATAGACTATATCATACCGTTGTGAAAATGGTGGAGGATATGATATTGTTCAACATTAATTTATTAATTATTCTAAATAGAAGTTTGATAGAAGTCTTAATTTATTAACCATTCTCAATTGAAGTTTGGTAGAAGCCTGATTAAGAAGTTGATATTAATGTTGAAAAATGTTTAGGTCTTAGTGCTGTTAAAGCATGCCATTAGAGTTGATAGAGTTTTATTCATATGATAGAGGATTGTCATTAAACTCGTCAATCTCACCCCATAATTATAAAAACCATGAATTTGATAAAAAAAAATTTTTTTTTAAAATATAGTTGAAACAGCAAGAAAAAGAATTTCAAGCACTAGTACGACACTTATCAAAGTAACTATAATTGCAACGTCAAGTTAGACTCTAGAGAAGAGATGATGGATCCTAGAACGATAACTTAATCTTATCTAGATCATAGGATTGGTCCCACAATTAAAGATTAAAGATTCACATGATTTCTAAGAAAATTCTTAAAGAAATTACTCGAAATAGAATTGGTTCGAATCAAGAACGCTTATAAACTCTAGAATCCCCATTCTAATCCCTATGGAATGAATGATTAAACAGAAATAGAAGTAGGAAGGGAAAATGAGTACGCTGGCAATGGCTGCCTTCTGCTTTGGACAGCGAAACCCACGGTCTTCTCGGCCCACCAAACCTTTGACCAAATATTCACACACACACATATATAAAACCCTCTCTTGGAACTCTCCAAAAAAAGAAAGAAAAAGAAAAATAAAAAATAAAAAAATCCACTGCTTCTCACTCACACTGACACAAAAGCTTCCGTTTTTCTTCTCTCAAAAGAGAGCTTCATTTCAGACTCTGTTTTCATCTTCCTCTCTTCCCTTTCTTTCCCTCCTCCATTAATGGCGGAAAACCAAGCTTCCGGTGGGGACCACCTCGGAGCAGCAGCACCGATCACGGGCGCCGCTGCTGGAACCACTTTCTCTCAGCTCCTCTTTGCTGCAGATGATGATGATGACGACGACAATGATAATGATGATTATAAAAATCATTTCTTTAATTACTCTGTTTCTGCTGCTTCCTCTGCTTTCGCCATGGAAGATCCCCCAAAAATGCTCTGTTTCGGCGCCAAACAGCAGCAGGATCAACAGCAGCTGATTTTCTCTGAGCCCTGTTCCATTTCCAAGCCGCGTCAGAAATCCACTCTCACATGCACCGATTCTGTAAAGTCCCACAACGCAAATCTTCACGTTCTTTACTTGTTTTGCTTTAATTTCAACTGTTTGTTTGTTTGATTTTTTTGTGTGAAGAAAGTGCAGAAGCGAAATGGGTCGGACCCAGAAGCGGCCGCCATTAAAGCAGCTCCGTCGTCCAACCAGAGAGCTTCGAAGAAGATCAAAGCCGATGCTGGGCATGCAAAGGTCCATTTTTGCCATTTAATTAACCTTCATTTTCTTCATCTTTCTGAAGTGGTTTTATTTTGGGTTGCCAGAGGAAGGAGAAATTAGGGGAAAGAATCACAGCTCTACAGCAACTGGTTTCTCCCTTTGGCAAGGTGCAAAAAACAAAAAACCCACAAAAAAAAAACCTTCAATTCCAACATGTTTGCTTTACATTTTAGAAAGGAAAATACTCCCTCTTTTGACCAAATCTCGTCCTCGCCACAGTTGAAAGTTGACAACTCATTTTTTTTAAAAAAAAGGTCTATACTTTTGCATTTCCACTCTTACCCGGTTGAGTAGCAAGTATTTTCCTGACTTTTTTTTTTGGGAATTTTGTCTATGTTTGACAATTAAGAGGAAAATGCAAAAATATGATTTTTTTAAAAAAATGGTGGTAAGGACAATATTTTATCCAAACTGAGCCAAGAAGTATTTTCCTTTCATTTCCCCTGTTTCAGAATCTCTTGTATTTCTTTTATGCTCAACACTTTGGGGATAATTTACTGAAAAGTTTCAGTCAAAAAAGCGGTTTTACTTTAACCCAAAAGGGTAAAACGATTAAAAAGGTTCTGACTTTTGGGAACTTGATGAACGAACTAAAAACAGACAGACACAGCATCAGTGCTTCACGAGGCAATGGGCTACATCAAGTTTCTGCACGAACAAGTTCAAGTCCTCTGCAGCCCTTATCTGCAACACCACTTGAATTCTTCATCTTCTTCATCTTCTTCTTCATCAGCCACTGTAAGCACTTTTTTTCTCTTCTTCTTCCGTCTCTCTGCAAGTTTTTACCTGACGTTTTCATGGAGAACAGGGGGGAAGAGAAGCAGGGGAGGCAGAAATGGACCTCAGAAGCAGAGGGCTGTGTCTGATTCCAGTGGAGTGTAGCTTGCATTTGGGGAATTGTACAGTTGCAGATTTCTGGTCGCCCGCCATGGCCATGGGGAGGAAGCTCTGAGAAGGAAGCAATGGAGGATGATGATGGGTTGATTTTGTATACAGGG